TGACTCTATGAGCAATTTTAGCTGTTTCTGTGTCCACTCACAGTCCTTTCAGGAGGCCTCAAACTTAGCTCAGCTGTGTTCTGTGTCTCATAAGTCTTGCATTTCATTTCCTGTTTTATCTCTCATTTATCACGATAGTTTGGAACATATTATAGTTTCAAAGTCTTAAAATTGTAACTATTGTAATTATAATGATGTTATTCAGAACAAACTGCCTTTGTTCCATTTCTCTGATGTAAGAAAAAAACAGAATTTGTAAATAATCAGCATCCAAATCTTGCATAAGACATTGAACTAGATCTAAGATAAACAACTGGCATACAAATATTGTAGTTTCCTAACTATTTGTGAGTATAGATCATATAACATCATCACTTTGATGACATGACATAAATGCTACAGACTAATCTATAAAAAAGTTATGAAAGCATTAATACTACTGGGATTATAAGCTGAGTAAAAGTAGCATAGGAAACACATTGTCTGACATGTGAAAGAAAAGAATGTATTTGGTTATTACTCACAGAATATATTGCATATACCTTATCCCCAAGATTGAAAAAGTTCTAATATTTTCAGGTCTTAGTACTACAAACAAATGATCAACTATTGGAGAGGATAGCACAATGTTCACAACAAAAAATACTCGTATAAAATATAATTTGGAAAGACCCATGTTTATTTTAGTAAACTGAATATATAACTTTAATTTATACATATTACATATCCATTTGTACATACCTACTTTTATATATAAAAACTACTTGTTAGATGATTCTTAACTTTATAATATATATGAAAATTTATCATAAATTAATATAAGACTTTAGAAGAATGTAAATAGATACATAGCTGGCATATAGCTCAGCAGTAGGGGATTTGTATAATGCTGCAAAACAATAAATATACATATAAATAACTCAATAAAATATAAATATGTGTGTTGGAATATTGATAGATGAGTTTGACATAAGGCAAGAAAGACAATAGGTTATATGTAATTTTATAAAAGGGTTAAGAATAGGATGATCTACTATAAAGGGCTCTATCTGGACATGGTAAAGAAATATATGATTATGATTCAATATATCATGCTAAGTTGTGGCACAATATGGCAAGACATAAGACTGACACAAGTACTTCTGCACACTATGATCCTCGCTGTTCTTGCAGGACAAAGATGTACACATGGTCTAAACTCCAGGAGACCTTTCTTTTTTATCAAGTATTTTGCATTTTTATATGTATCACATTTTAGTCATAAAAGGAAAACAAAGACAACCTAGATATCCTTCAACAGATCAATGAATAAAAATTTAGCACTTTAGTATGCCTTTTTAAGAAGTTTCTTTTAGTTAGGAAAAACTGATGGTAGGAGTAACTGGGGTGTTGGCATTTTGTGAAACAGTTCAAAGATCTAGAAATCAGAGAAGATGCAGATAAAGAAGTTTCCAGAAAAGAGAACACTAAATACTAAGGAGCAAACTCTAGTTACATAACATACACATTGGGTAGAGAAGTATTGAGAAGTTTTTTTTTTTTTTTTAATAACAAGTGTATTTTCCATTTAATTTTACATTTAAAAGATCTTTTATAGAATATATTTTGATCATAGTTTCCCATATACCAGTTCCTCCCAGATCTTCATCTCCCTCCTCACCCAACATAATGTACTTTTCTTTGATCTCAAACACAACAACAAAGCAAATTAAAACCAAAAAGAAAAATACATGTCAGCAAGGAAAAAAAAGAAAGGAAGGAAGGAAGGAGGAAAGGAAGGAAGTGTAGCTAGAGTTTTCCTGCCTGGTCCACACTCAAGACAAATCTTTGTCACCCGCCAGTCCCATAGCCACTCAGACTCAACCAAGTAAACACAGAGACTTACATTGCTTACAAACTGTATGGCCGTGGCAGGCTTCTCGCTAACTGTTCTTATAGCTTAAATTAACCCATTTCTATAAATCTATACCTTGCCACATGGCTGGTGGCTTACCAGCGTCTTCACATGCTGCTGGTCATGGCGGCAGCTGGCAGTGTCTCTCTACCTCAGCCTTCCCCTTCCCAGAATTCTCCTCTCTCCTTATCCCACCTACTTCCTGCCTGGCCACTGGCCAATCAGTGTTTTATTTGTTGACCAATCAGAGTAATTTGACATACAGACCATCCCACAGCAGGGAAGGAAGGAGGGAAGGAAGGAAGGGAGGGAGAGAGGGAGGGAAGGAGAGAGGGAGGGAGGAAGGAAGGAAGGAAGGAAGGAAGGAAGGAAGGAAGGAAGGAAGGAAGGAAGGAAGGAAGGAAAGAAGGAAGGAAGGAAGGAAAAAAAAAAACAGACCCAAACTAAAAGAAAAAGCACACAAAAATATAATCTGTTTTGCACTAACCAACTGCTCCTGAAGATGAGGCCTGCCTTAGTGTTTGGTTGATATACCCAGTAACACTCCATTGGAGAATACTGATTTTTCATTTCCCAGCAGGTATCATTACAAATAATTTCTAGGTTAGGATCGGGACTTCCTATTTCCCCTTCTCCATGCCTGTGTTTTTGTCTGTTTTTAACTTGTACAGGTCTTGTGCATGCTTTCACAGTCTCTTTCATTTTACATGTGAATCAATTTTGTTTTGTCTGGAAGACAATATTTCCTTGGAATCATTTGCCACCTCTGACTTTTACTATCTTTCAACCTCATCTTCTGCATAAATCCTCAGTCTACAAAAGAGGGGTTTGGAATGGTGTCCTGTTTAAGGCTAAGTTCTTCAAAGTCTCTCATTCTCTGCACATTTAAATCTGAACTGTATTTGTGTCTTCTTGTTAATGGTGCATAAACATGTTTTTTTTTTTTTTGTATTTCCTCTAATTTTCTAGTTACTATAGCTGTATTGTACTATAAAAACAAAGCAAAACAAAAACAGCCCTTTAGACCTATGCAGAAGGGCTAAGAAAGTTATAAAGTATTGGAAACTGGAATTTAGCAAATTATCATAGAAATGTAAAGTAAATGTATGAACTCTTTTTAACGATTAGTTTTCTTCAAATTTTAATACTTAAAAGTTGAGTGAATTGCAAAATTGCCTTGCTAAGCAGTTAACTAGTGTGTGAGACAAGTCACAGAGTTCTCCAACTACTTTACACCAGATTTGTGAGACAGTATGTGGTAATATTTTATTTGTGCTGAAATGTGGTGATACTTTATTTGTGCTTTAATAAAGTTTGTATGGAGATCAGAGGAAATAGCAAGCCGTTTTAAGTAAACACAAAAGTCACGGAGCACACGCCCTTAATCCTATCACTTAGCACACAGGGTCTCTGTGTGTTCAAGGTCACACTAGCGAACAGAGCCAATCGTGGTGACACATGCCTTTAATCCTAGTACCAACCATAGAGACCTGGAGGTCTGTACAGACAGATAGAAAGTGACAGAGCTGTGTATGAAGAGGAAGTAAGGTAGCTGGGCTAAGAGAGCCAACAAGATGGCAGAACAGCAAGATAATAAAGGTGTGGGTAGACAGGAAGTAACTCACATTTGGAAGCTGCAGAGTTGGTGAGGTAAGGTTGGCTGGTGGCTTTACCTATTTCCCTGATCTAAGGCTTTCACCACTATATTTGGCTCCGTGTTTTTTTATTTAATAAGACCATTTAGATATGTGGCAATAACAATCCGTAATGCATGAGCTATGAAGGAGGAGAAAGTATAAATTTCTGTAGAAGGAGATAGAAATAAAAGATACCATCAACCCATAGGACTGAACACTAAGTTTAAGAAAACATTGCTAGATGAGCAATCCAATTCTGCATTTTAATGCAGAAATGTTACCCCTCTCTCAAAACTCTCTCTGTTATAGGAAAACTTAACAATGAGTTACTGTTGGAATTACAGTAATTTTGGATATAGCATAGTACCTTAACAGTTCCAAACACCAAGGGATTTATAAGGTTTTCTGATAAGAATCAGAGAGTAGCCACTTCTAGCCCTTTCATTTACTAAGCTGAGTTCATGAGCAGCTCTACCAGCTTGTAGAAGGTAAAGGCTCTAGAACTATCAAAATCATAGTCAAGTTAGTGTCCAGAAAACACACAGAAAGCTATTAGAGTTGTTATTAACGAATTATATTTATCATAATACAAGTTCATTTTGGGAAACCTCTAAAAAATTGTGTGTGGAATACTAAATTTATTAAACCACCAGTACACCAGTTGAGTCTTACATGTTGATTGTGAAATAAAGATCATTATTATCAGCTAGTTCTTAAATAATTTAGACATGAATGTAACAGACTGTACTTTTATTGCAGAAAACACCCATAGCATAAAATTTGCCACTGCAATTGTTTTAATGATAAATTTCATTACCATCAGGTACCTACTCAATGCTATATATCCATTAATACAATCCATCTCTAGAATTTGTCCATATTCTTCAAATAATAATGAACTAATTAAGTAGTGAGTTTTCATTCTTCCTTTTACCATCCTTGACATGAGTCATTCTACTCTGCTTTTAAAAACAGTGTCCTAGGGAGCTTCTATTAGTGGGAGCACATATCATTTGTTCTCTTGTGACTGCCTTCTTCAGTTTGACAAGATTTTGCATGTTGTTTGTAGTCTGTCTCATAATGTAATCCATTTTCAAGTCCAAATATTCCTATGCATATATCTACCACATTTCTCTGAAACATTTGTTATCAATGAACACAGCTGACTTCCTTCTTGGAAAATTTTATATTATGCCCTGGTTCTGAAAGAACACACATGTTCAAGTACCTGTTTAGTCCATATTTTCATTTATTTCAGTTACATATCCAAAAGAATTATTATGATAATTCTTTGACATAAATTAGGGGGATTTTTGTGTATTCCTCTTTAACTATTATTGTACTATGTATATATACATATAAATATGTTATTATCACCTCCTGAGTCCACCTAGTGTTGTTTAAATGTATATGTTTGAGGCTGATTATTTGATATTGGATAATCATTTAAGGAGCTAACACCTATGGACAAATGATTCTCTCTGTAGTCCTTAGCTGACTGTTGCTCTCCATCTAGGATGGGGGCTTTTAGATTTTCCTCCACACGTTGTTAAATTAACTGCTGTTGTCACCGTTCAAGTCTCTTTCATACTAGCATATTGTTTAGATTTTATGTGTATGGCTTCCTTGACATGCACAGAAGACAGAAACCTCACATTAGGGATCCTGCTCTTCTGTTTCTTATAATCTTTCTTTACTTCTGAGATGTTTCCTGAGCCTTAGGTGTATGGGGTTGTGTGATAGATAACTATGGCTGGGCACACCACACCAGGTAGTACTTTGTTTTTTAACCATCTGTGACTTTCTTTAATGGTCTCTATCTACTGTAAAATTAAGCTTTTTATAAATAAAGAATGAGAGGTACACTTTATCATCTAGCAATGTATCATCTGTCCATCTAACTATCATCTTTATTTATATTATATATTATATGTTATATACTTAATATATATGTTACATTACCATATATATATATATATATATAAATATAAAGAATGCTGATAAAAATTATACTGGTTTAGGAAAGTGACAGTATTAGTTTCTTTTAGGAACCTTGAGGTTCCATGTCCTCACCAATTCTTACATATGTGCATAACAATAATATGATTAATTTTTTAAAAAAGGGATAATACATTCCCAGGTCTTTATATCAGTAGTTCAAGACTTTTATTCAACTACAGTTGAGAAAAAAAAAACTAATTATTCCCCTTTACTTCTTTTTAAATAGGGAACTCAATATTCCTGAGCTTTAAGTGGAGACAAAGCTAAGTCAATGGAACCAGAAGTCAAAATTCACACTTTAACAAGGATGGTATATAAAGTTCATCAATAGAAAAATCATGTGTCTTTCAAAAGAGCAAACAATTAAATAGATTTTAGCCAGGTGATAAGAGCTCTGTGAATGTTAAGATGATAAAAACTCCGAATAGGCAATCCTGATCTACCTACGTTAGGATTTTCTCTCTGTGCCAGTTTTGGGCTTTCTCAGTTTGAGTTCTATTGTCACTGGCAGATAAGTAACAAACAAATCCATCTACTTATTTTCAATTCACTTTTTAATTAAAATCCATTTGTATCAATGTCCCTTCACTTTTATCCCTCCAGCTGCTCCAAAGTCTCCTTCCTCAAACCTCTCCTCTGTTCCTCCCTTATTCCCTTTCAAATGGATAGCTCCATTCATTTTGACTATTGCAATGTATGTTATTCATACATGCATAATTTTGTAAATACAAAATGCAGAGATAAACTGTGGGATTCTCAGCCACAATGCAGATACCTACATTATAATTGCTGTACCTAAGGCCCAGGTAATGTCACAAAAGACAAGGAAGAAAGAATGTAAGACACAGAAGACCGAGCACGCGAAGCTCCAGGCCGCCAGTTAAAGCGCAGAGGGCGAGGGCGGACGGCCACCGTCTTCTCTGTGCGCCCGGCTCCTGCTCTCCGCCGCCGATCGTCCCTGCCCAGCTGCGGAGCTGTCCCTGGAAAAGAGAGTCTCCCCACTCCTGTCCGTGGATAAAGAGGAACTGTGCTGGAAGCATGTGGCCCATCCTCAGAGGCTGGAAGAGGGGACGTGTGAGTCCACGTGGAGCCCTGGCACGGGCTGTGCTGGGCCAGGCATGGCACCCCTGTGGCCGTGCCGTGGGCAGCGCTGCCTCGGTGGGCCAGGATGAGTACAGCTTTGTGGTGGTGGGTGCGGGCTCGGCTGGCTGTGTGCTCGCCAACCGTCTCACCGAGGACCCGGACCACCGGGTTCTGCTGCTAGAGGCCGGTCCTAAGGACGTGGTGATGGGGAGCAAGCGTCTCCAGTGGAAGATCCACATGCCTGCCGCCCTTGTAGCCAACCTGTGTGACGACAAGTACAACTGGTACTACCACACTGAGGCACAGCCAGGCCTGGACGGCCGTGTGTTGTACTGGCCACGCGGCCGGGTCTGGGGGGGATCCTCATCCCTCAACGCCATGGTCTACATCCGTGGACATGCTGAGGACTATAACCGGTGGCATTCCCAAGGTGCCGAGGGTTGGGACTATGAGCACTGCCTGCCCTACTTCCGCAAGGCACAGAGACACGAGCTGGGACCCGACAGGTACCGCGGTGGTGACGGCCCACTGCACGTGTCTCGGGGCAAGACCAACCACCCCCTTCACCAGGCCTTCCTGCAGGCCACACATCAGGCTGGCTACCCCTTCACCGAAGACATGAATGGCTTCCAGCAGGAGGGCTTCGGCTGGATGGACATGACCGTCCACCAAGGGAAGCGCTGGAGCGCAGCCTGTGCCTACTTGCACCCGGCACTGAGCCGCCCCAACCTCAGGGCCGAGGTCCAGGCCCTTGTGAGCAGAGTGCTGTTTGAGGGCACACGTGCAGTGGGTGTGGAGTACTTCAAGAACGGCCAGAGCCACAAGCTGCTCATGCTCTCTGGCATTGGAAACGCAGACGACCTCAAGAAACTGGGCATCCCTGTGGTGTGCCACCTGCCTGGAGTTGGGCAGAACCTGCAGGATCACCTGGAGATCTACATTCAGCAGGAATGCACGCATCCCATCACCCTCCACACGGCCCAGAAGCCTCTGCGGAAGCTCAGCATCGGTTTGGAGTGGCTCTGGAGGTTCACAGGGGATGGAGCCACATCCCATCTTGAAACAGGAGGGTTCATCTGCAGCTGGCCTGGGGTCCCCCACCCGGACATTCAGTTCCACTTCCTGCCTTCCCAAGTGATTGACCACGGGCAGAAACCCACCCAGCAGGATGCTTACCAGGTACATGTGGGAACCATGAGGGCCACAAGTGTGGGCTGGCTCAAACTGAGAAGTGCCAACCCTCGGGAGCACCCTGTGATTCACCCCAACTACTTGTCAACAGAAACCGACATCCAGGACTTCCGTCAGTGTGTGAGGCTGAGCAGAGAAATTCTTGGGCAAGAAGCCTTGGCTCCCTTTCGGGGCAAAGAGCTGCAGCCTGGATGCCATGTCCAGTCAGACCAAGAGATAGATGCCTTTGTGCGGGCGAAAGCAGACAGTGCTTACCACCCATCCTGCTCCTGTAAGATGGGCCAGCCCTCTGACCCCACTGCCGTGGTCGACTTGCAAACCAGGGTCCTTGGGGTACAAAACCTCAGAGTCATCGATGCCTCCATCATGCCCAGCGTGGTCAGTGGCAACCTGAATGCTCCCACAGTAATGATTGCAGAGAAAGCAGCTGACATGATTAAGGGGAATCCTGTACTCTGGGACAAGGATGTTCCTGTCTACAAGCCGCAGACTCTGGCCACCCAGCGTTAAGGCAGCCACGGCCTGAGGATCATAGAGGAACTCATGTCAAGAGATCCAACTCATACGGCCCTGCCCCCAGATAGTTCCTGAAACTGTGTAGAACCTTGGGACCCAGATATCCCGACTCATGGCTAAGACCTTCATGGTATCTGAAGAAATAAGGCCATGGTAGTAAGTGAGGCAAGGAGGAAGACTAGCCTGCACAATGGGATCCTCCTCCCGACCTCCGGGGGTTAAAAGTTCAGGAGGTTAACTTTTGCATGATTTTCTCACCAGCCCTCCAGCCATCTCCAGTCCAGTGTTCTGCTGCCAGGAGTGGAATGATCCCTTCCCTGGCCTCCCACCTCAGGCCACTTCTGCACAGGCAGGGTGCTTGAACTGGACTGGGTTCTCCAAGGACGCTTTAGCTGAGGCCAAGAGCCAGGGCTGGTACCTGAGCTCATGTCCACGATGAGAGGAAAGGCAGCCAGCCGGAGGGTGCTGGCTGTCCCTTCTCCTGCCTTGACTCAGATCTGAAGAGTGGGGTGCAGGGGTTGGGGCTCAAGTGACCGCACAACTCACCTGCCTTGTCCTGACTGTCCTGACAAGAAAACGAAGACCAGTTTTTCTAAGATGTCCAAAGCCACCATCTATATTAGGGAAGAAAAGAATCACTGTATAGAAACCTGCATTACGAGGCCTAGAAAAGAGGGGGATATCAGAATCCCATGCTCCATGAGGGTTGACTGGGAGTGGCCGGAGCCGCCGTCTGGACATCTGAGAAAGGCCTTTCAGAAAGGTTGAAGTAAACCACTGCATTTCTTTCAAAAACCAGGTTGATTTTGTTTCGTCTTACCTGTGCCTTGCCTTCTTTTTTTTGCCCACCGTGTTCCAAAAGAAAGTCAAGAAAGAAAACCCTAGGTCTGCCAAGAGCTTCTCACAGAGCACATGCCACACGGCAGTCGTCCGTGGCACCCTCAGTGAGGGTGCCACCCTGGGAGGGCCGTGTTCTGCTCTCATGCAGCCGTGATAAAGAAGACTGGACTCCGTCGAGCTCCTCAGTTATAGGCAGGCCTTTCTCTCACCGTGGCATACCAAGGCAGGCTCCACGTGTTGGTATGACTTAGCCACATGAGGAAACGTGTCTCTGGAGACGAAAAGTGAAGGTTACACGCCCAGAACTCAAAGATGTCAAGTGGGAAATTGCTGTTGGGGTTCAAACTCAGGACAGAACATGGGATTCAGAGGCTTCCTCGCTGGAGTCCTGATGGCCTAACATGGTGGCTCCTGTTTCCAGCCCGAGTAGAACAGTCCTGCCTGCAATGCTGAATCCAAATGCCAGGGCTGTCTGGGAGTCCCAGCGCCACGAGGGAGCCAGAGCGGTGGAATGACGCAAGCCTGCTTGGGTTACAAAGTGGGGCCCCCACAGGCCATCAGACTGAGTCTCATGGGGACCTGGACAGACTTTGTTTTAGCTAAGCATGCTCCTTGGCAAGGAGCCTGTCATGCCTAAAACACGGAAGGCCATAGGTTGCCAAAACTGGTGCACGCGCACCTTGCAAGCGCACGGCCCAGGGTTGACCCTTAGAATTAGGAAGCAGCCGCTGCACTTGTGAGCTGTGTTGAGAGAACTTGCATGTATCTTGCTGTTGGCCAAATGTGTTCCTGACAGATCCCAGGGGAGACAGGAACAACTCACCAGCATGACCGGAAATGGTCACAGAAGCAGGAGGTGGAAGCACCGTGACATTCAAGCCTTCTGCCTCCGGTGCCCGCTGCAGGGTTACTTTCCATAAATGCAAAATGGGCTCTTCCCACCTGCCACGCCGTGTCCCTCAGGCCCCAGGACTTTCCATATTTCCACTGATAAACTACCATGATATCAAATCTAAAAAAAAAAAAGACACAGAAGACCACAAAGTGCACCATGAGATTGTGTCTCATGGAAAAGACAAGGACACTATAGCCATGATATTATAGCAATACCTGCCTGAACAAGATCTGTAGAATGATCTACATCCTTCTGTTTCTACAGTGGTAAAAATTATGATATACAGTTCAAATAATTTATGTGCATATTCTGTTATTTGTTACATCTGAATGTAAGATTCTTTTATGTTATTTTCTTTAATCAAAACAATATGACTTAAAAATCACAGAAGACAAACTTCAAGAGAATATATTGCAAACCAGTGTCAAATGCCTATCCTGATCTTCACTATTGTTCTCTGATAGCATTTATAGATAATCTATTAGTTTAGAATTTGTCTTAAAGAAATGGCATCTTGATAGATACTAATTTAATGAATGAATTACTTCTCACAACCTCAGAGGGACTATTAATTCAATTTCAATATTTTATAAACAATATAGAATATAAAAGATACTTCTAGTGAAACTAAATTTATATTTTATTTTGGCAGTTTCTCTAGGTATATAAATAAATATGATATGCCAATTATATCGACATAACATCCCTGAGAAGTGAAATAAATTCATATTTATTGTGGTAAGATAATTAATTCATTTTTATGGAAAACATAAAGTGTTGGCATGGAATATCATAGATTTTACAAATGGTTAGATTGGTAAATGGAACTCAAGTGAAAGAGTGTCTAGATGCATTTGGCTTAGTAAATACAGATCAAAGTGACTTTGAGAGGACACACTTTCCAGTTCGCATCAGCAGGTGGAGAGCCCAAAATGCTTGTTTGTCAACACACCAGCTGGAAGGAGTCCTGCATACATTGCCATTCCCCTTTGGAATCTGTGTATTGATAAGAAATACAAGCACTCTTGTTTGTTCTTAATTATAGGAAAAACTGAAAAGTTCTATTGGTTGTGGTACATTCAAATACTTAAAAACATGAATTACATATTATTAAGGTCTATAAATCATCTTGTTTTAAACAGAGAACATTGAGGAAAAGTATGATCCCTGTAGTGCTTCATCATTTAGTTGTATTTTTGTCCTTGTTTATCTCATAACCTCCCCCAAATCCTAGATTTCCAACTTTTAATTTTTTCATGTAGTAATCTGATTTAATATCTTATATATTGAATAAAGAAAGACAAGACATTCAGTACAAACATTGCAGGATGCAAAAGGCATTAATAAGAAAATAACAACACCCTTTGAAATAAACTGCAGTACAGATCCTTCACTATGAAAAGGAAAATGGTGTGTGTGTGTGTGTGTGTGTGTGTGTGTGTGTGTGTATACGCGCACGGGCGGGCACGTGCTCCAGAGTGTATGTGTTTGTATGCTCATGATGAAAACATTATTCGCTAGGCAACAATAGTTCTGAGGACTGTCTGCTAAAGAGGCCCCAGTTGAGAGTTCTTAACACAGAATGCAGAGATTCAGTGAGTAGAATGAGACCATAACAAGAAAAGCTTTGGATGGCAGACTGAGGAGTTAGGGATTCATCTTGTAAGTAATCTGGATCATAGGATATTGCACAGGACCTGTGAGGCCTTGTTGATCCAAATCCCTCATTATGCTGTGATCTCTCTCTCTTATGGGAAACATTCAGCTGTGAGCATGAATGCCATGCTTAAAGAAAGTATCAAATAAAGGCCAGTACAAAAATAAAACCTTAGAAAATGCAACCATGTCTCCGTGGCCTTTGAGCCATCAGGAGGCTGGCTAAGCCCCAGGGAAGCCCTGGCTTCTGAAATGGGCTTGTTATCCCTGACATTTTTCTCAATACTGAGGCCCCAGGAAAATAAAAGATTGAATAATTAAGAGAAATAAAATAATACAGAGGGGAAATTAGCATTCAGAAACAAAGACACTAGGACTGTTTTTTGTTGTTAATTGTGCTAGCTGCAGATGCTTTTATATGATTTTACATTTTAAAATTCCTAAAGTAGGAAGCTTAAAAAATACTGGTCTAAAACCAAATCCAAATTATGACCATGAAATTTAAAGTACTGATAAACCACATGCCTTGTCAGAAATATGGGCTTCAGAATTCATGTATTCCCAAAGATGCCCTGTAGCCTCACTTTATCCATAAAGGAATGTCAAATTCTGTGGGGAATTCTTAAGAAGTATACTGGATTTGTAAGACAATGAGGTGATATGAACTAATTTTAAGTGAACTATACATATTAGATTTGTTCATATATGAAACATTTTTATCCTTAGCACAGAGAAAGAATAAAATCTCAGCTTTAGTATGTATTTACTGTCTAAAATTTAGTATATGGGAATTACTTCTACTTATTGTATGATACACATCTATATGATTTTTGTAAATATGATGGAATGGTTGGATATAGCTAATTGATGATGTGTTAAAACATGCTTTTGGTGAGAATTTTTCAAACCCACTCACAACATTTTTCAAGGGTATAATACCTGTGGTCATTATTCTATCGCCAACTTTATTCTCTGGTCTAGTTATATTAGGTTTCAATGAAAGAAAAAAGCTGACACTTAGAGCTAGTGACGGTCCAGCCTGATTCCATCTTAAGATTAAAAATCATCCTACTACAAGGTCAAAGTAAGCATATTCCTGTTTTCTATAAAACATGGATCTGACCAGGTCTTGACTCATTTTCTGATATTTTACATGTACCATATCCTATACCCTGACTTCTATTCTAATAAGATGTTCTACCAGATAATTTTGAGTTATTCAGTCAAGTTCCTATGTAACCAAAATTCTCTGGAAAACCCCCTAGTCTTGCAATTTTGGGAGTTAAATAAACCCAATTTTCCCTACGTTTAATGCTATTTTCTCAAACCCACCTTAGAGAAATAGCCCTATCTAACAAAAAATAAGGCTTGCATAATTTGACCAAAGAATTTGGGTAATAGTCTTTACTCTGCTTCAGTGGGATTAACACGACTTGACATATAGTAAAGCAACACTAGGATTTGGCATTCTAGTTTTATTCCTACTGTAAAGAAAACATATGAGCATCACATCATTATTCTTGTTCCTTTCTTGTTTAAAATGCTAGCTCCCTCATACTTAAAACAAAGTGGGGGAAAGCAGGAAAAAAAATGTGTCCTAGTAAACATCAATAACCGCAACTAAAGAAAAACAGCTAAAGAAATTTATGACTATACAATATTATGGTCTGATTTCAAAGAGTCTGTTAATTATTAAATTCAATATCTCTAAATGATTTTATTAGAAGTGTGTAATCAGAAGCAAGCCTTTGAATTGTTTTGAATTTTTGAAGTTTACTCTCTTCATAAAGACCACTCTGGAATGCCTGCGTGCATCTGTCCTGCTCCGGCAGTTTGTGGCTAGCAGAAACCACTCATAATTCTTTGATCTAAAGATAGTGCCTAAAACTTCAATGTATAAACACCACATATATGGCATAAATTATAACATCCAAATATAACATATACTTCTAATATCAACTTTGTGATGCAACATAGTTTTTTAGTAGGATTAATAAAATATAGGCACAAACGTGCTAATGTGTGTGATTCTGTATGAGGCTTTGTTTCTTTCCGTGTGGGTATATGCACTGATTACTCAGCACACACAGGCTCAGCACACTCCGCTGTTTCCAGGGCCAATGATCTGAGTGTGAGTGCCACCTGACGAGTCCAGAATGTTTTCTTTTTCACCATCAGTATCTAAAAAAGGAACATGTATTTTCAAAACAACACTCTCCTTTGCTCTCATAATTATGTGCAATACAGGTAAATTATCTAGAAGATGAACTCTACAGAGAAAAATGTCACGTATTTCTGTTTGGGATCAAAGCCAATAAATTCTGCAGTATAGTGGTAACAGGAGAATAGCAAGTGAGAATTTATTTATTAATTAATTAATTTATTTTTTGTTTTGAGCAGAGTGGTCCAGAATGTTCTAGAACTCAAAGTGTAGCATAGGCCGCCTTCCATCTTGAAACAACCAACCCACTTGGCTTAG